CTTCCTTCCTTCCTTCCTTCCTTCCTTCCTTCCTTCCTTCCTTCCTTCCTTCCCCTCGCTCTTGCACTCCCCCCTCCCCTTTCTAACAGGGGCTAGTCCTTGGAGAAAGGTATTATGCTTGAATAGGTAGAAGGTCAGCAAAAGAGAAGACTCTCAGGTGGGTTGACACAGTGACTGTGCCAATGAGCTCAAGTACATCAGAAATAATGTGGCTGACACAGGACAGGGCAGGGCACAGATCCATTATTCATAGGGTTGCTATGAGTTGTGTGGACTTAATGATACCATAGCAACAATAACAGCGTATCTCAAGAAAGATGGGCAGTCTCCTCCTGCAAAGATTTACAGCTTCGGAAACCCAGTGGAGGGTGGTTAGGAGTTGGGATACACTCAGTGACAGTAGGTGTTTTGTTGTTGGAGAGTGTTTATAAGACAATCTCTTCCATGTGATTTATAGCCTCTGAAAGCCTTCTGGATGGTCAGCTAAGGGCCAGTTCTGACTCTATGGCACACAACAACATCTCAAAAAAGATTTACTCAGGTCTTAGTCTGTAGATTGATTTACATCCTGTTTCCTGCCTCATTAACATAATTGCCCCTCATCTGGTCTCATTAACTTTACAGAGGTGAAAATTTAAAACATCTAGGATAATTGTATCAGGCTATGAAATGGATATTAATTATCACTGAGAATCATGGCTAGTCAAGTCAACATTTACTTTGTTGTTGTTAGGTGCTGTCCAGTTGAGAACTGAACCATGTCCTACCCTGTGCCACCCTCCTCTTCTCTGACATACTTAGGCCCACTGCTGCCCTCACTATGTCAATCCATCTGGTTGAGGGTCTTCTTTTCTTTTGCTGACTCTCCACCTTTCCAAACATGATGTCTTTCTCCAAAGAATAGCCTCTCTTAGTAAGAAGCTGTTTTTTGTTGTGTGTGTGGCATATTATAGGACACAATCTCCTCTGTGTGATTTATTGTCTCTGAAAACCCCCTAGGTTTATCTATGAGTGGGTTCTAACTTGACGACACACAACAACACGGCCACGGTGTGTGAGGCCATCTTTTCTTCCTTGCCTCCAACGAGCACTCTGGCTGCACCTTTTCCAAAACATTTCTGTTTGTTCTTTGGCAATCCGTGGGATATTCGGTACTTTTCTCCAACAACACAGCTCAAAGGCATCAATTACTTTCCTGTCATCCTTATTCACAGGCCAGCTCTCAGTAGCATGGGAAGTGACCAAGAAGACCATGACCTGCATCAGGCACATCTAAGTTCTCAAACTGGCATCACTGTGTCTCAATAATTTGGAGAGGTCCTTGACGGCAGACTTTTCCAGTGAAACACATTTCTGTTCTCCTGGCTCTTGGCACCAAGAATGTTGATTCTGGATCCGGGTAACATGAAGTCATTGGCACTTATTTTGATGGGGACACAATCCTGTCTGTGGTACAAGGCTAGGGAAAGGTTTTGCATTAAACTCTTGTACGTGGGGTTGCTCGGAGTGGAACCCACTCAGCGGCACCTAAGAAAAAGAAGTCTGAGCTGGGTGCTGGGCATTTGCGGGTGTGGATCAAGGTGCAGGTGGGCCTGGGTGCAGAGGGAGACTGGGCGGGGAGGGGTGGGCAGGTGGATGTGAAATCCCAGCCTGGGTTTTGCAGAAGTGACCGCACCATGGCCCTGGCATCTGGTCTCAGTTGGCTGCTGGAGCCTTTCCACTTGTCTTCCACTGAGCTTATCAATTCAGCAATGGCACAGACTCTAGAATGTTACAAATGAAATCTGTCAATGTGGGAAGCTGGGATTAGGGCAGACACACTTCCCTTCCTCTGTCAGCATTCCCTCTTTTATTTTTTGAGATTTAAGCCACACTTTCACCTTGTTGTTGTTGGTATGTGCTGTTGAGTCAACTATGACTCATAGCAACGACAGCTCTGAACCCTGCTCTATCCCGAGCCAATCTCCCTGTCTCCCACACACCTCACCTTATTACCCCAGTTACTGTGTCAATCCATCTCATTCTGGGCCTTCCTCTCCTGGGCTGTCTCTCCTTTCTTCTCAGCATGAAGTCCTTTTCCAGGGACTGGTCCTTCCTGGTGACATGCCCAAAGTATGTGAGTCAGAGCTTCAAAATCCTTGCCTCCAAGGAGCAACTTGATTTCTCCCTCCCCATCGTTGTCTCCTGTTCAACACATGTATCTGACTCTCTCCCCCTGTGGGGGGCGTGGAAGAAGCTCCCAACTGCACCAGGTGTCTGAAGCTGGACATCTGTGGGGAAGGAGACAGCCCATCTGTCTCCTGGTGAGCAGTTGATGGATTCCAACCTCTGACCTTTGCGTTAGGAGCGAAACACGAGATGCTAATGCACTAAGGCACCAGAATCGCTGTAGTTGCTACAGTTAGTAAGGCCAGGTGAAGTTCAGGGGGGCGGTCAAGGTTACAGAGCAAGTAGTCAAGTCCTTACTGGCGGAGATCAGGTTTGTGAGGGAACTCAGGGCTCCTCCCTCTTTATCCTAAAATGCCCATTCTTAATACAAGTGACAGCCTCCTCAGGACACCTCTGTTCTTTGCCACTTCTCCAGTATGTGGCTACCGCAGCAGCATGGCAGGACACCTCTCCGTCTTCCGGAGCCGCATGCTCCTCGGTACAGAGAGAGGGTCTGACAGTGAGGAACCTCTCAGATCCGCGGGCTCGCTCCAGGCTCCGGCGGGCTGAGCGCAGAGAGAGAGACAGAGACAGAGAGAGAGGGCGCGCAGACCAAATAGGGCGGGCTCGCGGGGCGCGGGGCGCGCGGAGGCTCAGGGCGAGCGCGCGGGCCTGGGCGCAGCCGAGAGACCGAGGAGGCAACGCTCAGCGCCGCTGGATTCCGCCGGCTCGGCCCCCTCGGTGCTGGTGCGCTTTCCCTTCTCCCGCTTCGGGGCAGACACAGCCACCGCCGCCGCCCATCTGGCGCCCTGCAGGCTCCCGGGGATCAGTCCAGCCGCCCCTCTTCTCCTTGGGACTGCGGCCGTTTGCTGCCCCCGCGCCGAGGTTGCAGGAGTACCACGAGGACTGCACCCACTGGCCGGGAGGCGGGCGAGGAGGACACTGGAGTCCCCGCGCACTCAGGGGCCGCGGCGCAGCGCACGGTGAGCGCCCCAAAGGGTTTAGGGGAGGTCCCTCCACCACGGGTCCCAGGGCGTCCCCGGGGTGCCTGATGGGGCCTCTGGGGCGCGCAGGGCTGAAGTTAGGATCGAGCGCATCCTCTCCCTACAGCACCTCCAGACATGCTTCCGCCGGGGCGCAACGGCAGCGCGGACCCGGCCCGGTTCCGGCGGCAGCAGCGGCTGGTGGAGGAGGGCGCCGTAGGGGGCTCGGCGGGGGCGGCGCCGCTGGGGCCCGCGCAGGTGGTCACTGCTGGCCTCTTGACCCTGCTCATCCTCTGGACCCTGCTGGGCAACGTGCTGGTGTGCGCGGCCATCGTGCGCAGCCGCCACCTGCGCGCCAAGATGACCAACGTCTTCATCGTGTCACTGGCTGTATCGGACCTCTGCGTGGCGTTGCTGGTTATGCCCTGGAAGGCAGTCGCGGAGGTGGCCGGCTACTGGCCTTTTGGGGCGTTCTGCAACGTCTGGGTGGCCTTTGACATCATGTGTTCCACGGCTTCCATCCTGAACTTGTGCGTCATCAGCGTGGACCGCTACTGGGCCATCTCCAGGCCCTTCCGCTACGAGCGCAAGATGACCCAGCGCATGGCCTTGGTCATGGTTGGCCTGGCTTGGGCCTTGTCCATCCTCATCTCCTTCATCCCCGTCCAGCTGAATTGGCACAGGGACAAGGCAGGCTCCAGGGCCGGGGTGGACCTTCCCGCCCATCGGGCCAATGGGACGCCCTTGGAGGTAACGCGGGAGTCTGAGTCCAGGACGGAGAGCTGTGACTCCAGCCTGAACCGAACCTACGCCATCTCCTCCTCCCTCATCAGCTTCTACATCCCGGTGGCCATCATGATTGTCACCTACACGCGCATCTACCGCATCGCCCGGGTGCAGATCAGGCGCATTTCGTCCCTGGAGCGCGCTGCGGAGCATGCGCAGAGCTGCCGCAGCCGCGTGGCCAGCACGCCCGATGCCAGCCTGCGGGCTTCCATCAAGAAGGAGACCAAGGTCCTGAAGACATTGTCTGTGATCATGGGGGTCTTCGTGTGCTGCTGGCTACCCTTCTTCATCCTGAACTGCATGGTCCCCTTCTGCAGCGGTCACCCCGAGGGCCCGGGGGCCGGTCTCCCCTGCGTCAGTGAGACCATCTTCGACGTCTTCGTCTGGTTCGGCTGGGCCAACTCCTCGCTCAACCCCATCATCTACGCCTTCAACGCCGACTTCCGGAAGGTGTTTGCCCAGCTGCTGGGCTGCAGGCATCCCTGCTCGCGCACCCAGGTGGAGACGGTGAATATCAGCAACGAGCTGGTCTCCTACCACCAGGACACTGGCATCCACAGGGACGTGGCGGCCTCCTACATCCATGTGATTCCCAACGTGGTCACCTCTGGGATCGGGGAAGGGGCCAGAGAGGAGGAGGAAGGTCCTTTTGATGGCATATCCCAGATCTCTCCAACGGCTCCTGATGGGGACCCTGCCTCAGAATCTGTCTGGGAGCTGGACTGTGAGGGGGAGATTTCATTAGGTAAAATCACACCTTCCTCCCCCGATGGATTCCATTAAACTGCCTTAGAAGTAACCTTCGTCAATCTGGGTAACCCACTGGCCAGACACTAGCAAAGCATAAGCGCATGCACACAACTACTTATTTCTAGCTACCGCTCAATTTATCACCTGTCTGTGTCTGTGCGCAATAGCCGGTGTGCTCGTTAGCATCCTCCAGAGACTGGCTGGCTGTTCAAAGAACTGGAGGAGTGGTTTGCAGCAAACTCAGACCCCAGATCGGCAGGGATGCCTGGTGGTCCTGACTGGGGAGAGGTGAAGCTTGGTCCTTCAAGGAGGAAAAAGAAAGTGATACTTGATCCCTGAAAAACATCTTCCCGGCTCGTTTTTAAACAGTTTGCCCCAGCGGCAGGTGATGTGGGGACTGAGGCCGATTAAACCACAGGGTCAGACGCTGGTGGTGGTGAGGGCTGGGGATGCTGCTGGCTTCCTGGGTCTTGCTCTTTATGGCTCCATGTTTATGCAATTTCTGTATTAGTAGATGCCGTTACTGCAGCCAAAAGACTCCCCGTGATTTGTCCTGCTGTCTAATAAATACGAATTACGTGGCTCATGGGGTGATAAATGTGCTTTGCCAGACTGATTTCGGCAAGCCTCCTGGAGACACCACAAGTGCATCTTTGAAAAGCAAGGCAGATTCTTCTCCAAATTGGGGATCCCAGGTCTGCTTTATGAAAGGATAATTTGTCCTTAAAGGCACCAAAGGGATGGGAGGGGGAAATCCCGGCTCATTGCAGAATCTGACTCGCAGCAGCCCTGTAGGATCGAGTACAAGTACCCTACAGAGCTTCCAAGCCCTTATAGTCTTTATGGAAACGAAAAGCTGGGTTTGAAGGCCTGACCTTTCTGTTAGTAGCTGTGCTGAACGATGGAGTCTCCTAACCTTACACACCGGGCGGGGGTGGGGGGAGATGCATTTAAAGAATTTCTGGTTTTTATCCAATTCCTCCTTGTGCGGTTCGCATATCTGAGTCTGCACTAAAAGCTGACCCTATGCCCTGGCCTTGGGCCTGGACCCCTCACGCCTGGGGTCCCACTGTTGCCCCTCTCATGTGGAATCTTCTTTCAAAAATAACATCACCTTAAACAGTTCTCCCGATTCCTCAACAGATGCTGGAAAGATACCCAGAAATAAAAACACAACTTGGTCTTTGTCCATGTCAAGCTCACCATGCATTTTAGAATCCTGTGCTTTCTAAAAAATTTATTTTATGAATAGAATCCTGTGCTTTTTGTCCATCGTAATTCCTGCAGGTCTTTGATAATATATGGGCTAAAAGGCTTTCAGAAAGGAACCTCACTTCTAAGGCAGGTATTATTTTGTAGACAACAGCAAATGGGGGCATGCATTTGAAAGAAAGTGTAGGAGCCAGAGATGAAATTGGAATGAACTTGAAATTGGGAATTCTGTAGACGTGCTTAATGTAAAAGCCCCACCAACTCCAATCTTCCCTGTTTCCCATCCTTTTGTTCTTCCCTCTGCAATCTGTGAAGTGGAGAAGGTTTTATTCCTGAACTGTTCAGTTGAGAACAACTGAATAGCATTTGGTCTAAATGTGAAGAGTGTTAATGGAGCTAATGAAATGTGAATAAGGAATTCCTCACAAGTCCCCGTCCGCAGCCCTCTTAGCAAGGGCATTCCAATCAGTTTGGTTTCTCTAAGGATAATGTATGTCAGTCTTCTGAGTAACCCTGTTTTGCTCATTGCAAAACACGCCCGCCTGCACAGCACACTCTGAGAGTATTTGCTCAGGGAACTGTGTCCGGGGCAGGGAGTCAGAGAGCATGTCTTTCAGTGCTTTTACCTTTCACCTAGGGTTTGCCAAATGAGTGTGAGAGTGGAAGATCTGCGTTCAGATTTGACCCCATGTGAACCAGGCAGGCATCACATCACAGGCAAAGAAAAGCTGATCTGGGATCCAGAGGTGTCTGAGTGACCTGGACTGAGTCACGTAACCTCTCTGGTTTTCACAATCTGTCTGCATCTATAAACAGGGAGAGGTGTCCTAAGGCACCGTTTTCTGTGTTTTGCTTTGTCATGTAACAGGGGCTGTTGTTGCTGTTAGGTGGTGTTGAGGTGGCCCCACTCTAGCAACCCCAAGCGCAGGACGGAACCTGCCCTCTGGCTCTGCCCGGCTGTGCTGAAGTCTACTGTTACAGCCCCAGTGCCAATCCATCTCGTGCAAGGTGTGTGCTCTCCGTGGCTGTGGGCATACCATGTCCCCATTATCAGAGGAGATTTGCAGCTGTTTCTCCTCATTATGAGTCACACCTCATCAACAAATGAAGGCCTCTTATTGGCTTGAAAGCTGTGCTCCATCCACATCATGAAGGTAGATTCTGCTTTGAGGTGGTCTAGTGATAAGGAGCTGTGTTGCCAACCCAGAGGCACAAGGTTCAAATCCACCAGCTGCTATGGGGGAGAAAGAGGAGCGTCTCCTCTCCTGTGATTTGTTGTTGTTGTTGAATGCCACCGAGTTGCAGGCCATTCTTAGTGACCCTATGAATGAAAGTCCTTGACATTTGCATGCGTGACTTTCATCCTTTCTCCAGGTCCATACAGTTTCCGGAGGCAAGCTATTTACGGAAGTGGATGCCACTACTGCTTCCATCCTGTGATTTACTGCCTCTGAAAACCTGCTGGAGGGTCAGACACGAGTCTGTTCTTACTTGAGAGCACCTGATAACAACAACAACAGCAATGACTGCTTTGAGGGGAAAGTCAGTAGGGACCCAAGCTGCAAACTCAAGGACCTCATCCCTCTGGTGGTTTGAATCCAGCAGCAGCAACACAGGAGAAAGATGGGAGTCCCCTCCCAGGTGATTTGAAGCCTTGGAAATGCATCAAATTCTCAACTATGAGTCATTTCAGAATAGGTGGTAATGAGAGAAACTACTTTGAAGTGGCTTCTCTTCACCAGTTGTAGTTGTGTTAGAGTGATCTGCTCACCACTGTCTTCTCAGCCAGAAGAGAGCCTGGCACATAGTAGGTGCTCAGTAAATGCATGTCATCTCTCT